TTTAAGTGGGAATGATTACTGGGAAAGTACTTGGAGCTTTGAATTTGACAAGTTCAGATTAAGAAGTCTGAACTTGATCCCACAGGAAACAAGTTTCTAAATGGAAAGTGACATCTGAGGGGCACCTGGCTAACTCAGCCAGGAGAGCATGCAACTCTTGATCTCAGGGTTGTAGTTCAAGCCCCAAGTTAGGTACTTCTACTCTAAGCAGTAGAGATTACTTAAAAATAAAATCTTTTTTAAAAAAGTGACATTTGAGAAATAAAACTGGAGTCAGAATACAGGATAAATTTCAACAATGTAAAGATTAGAGACAAAAATAATTTAAAATTATCACATTACGCCTGGATAATTGTAATAAAGGCATAAAAGAGTTGAATGGAAACAGTAAGAGGGATCTGTGAGACAGTGAAGATAGGACTTGTTAACTCACCGTTGGGACTAGATGAGCTTTATCCTCTCCTAAAAGATAATTACATCTGGCATATACCTCAATCATTTGACTTCAAACCTCACAATTTTTGTTGCCCCTCAATCCCTAAGACCTCTCTTTCCCAGACATTTGTTGTCCCCATGACCCCCAAACTAGATTCTCCAACCACACAATATATCCCAGCCAAAACAAAGGACTGTATTTACTAGCTCCTCAAAAACACCAGGAAATTCCCAATCCTATAACTTTGTTCATGTGATTTCTTCTACCTTTAATTTCTCTCCCTCCTTCTACATATTCGAAGTGTAGCCATTCTTCCCACCCCCGTTCAAGTGCCACTTTTTCCCAATGCTAGATTTCCCAGAAGCCCCAACTTGAAGTAAGATTACTTCCCAATACTCTCCCTTTTCTCTAAAACATTTTTTAACCATATAATTATTCCTTACCTCCTCTGATAAACTATATACTCCCTACAGCATACACAGCCAATTTATTTTTGTATTACTTCCTCCTCCTTTCATAGGTAGTTGAAGATCTTGATAAATAATATATGGCAACATATAGTATAATGGCTAGGAGCATAGACTCTGAAGACAGACTGCTTAAGTTTGAATCTAACACTGCCATTAGCTATGAGACCATGGGCAAGTTACTTAACCTCTCTGTGCTTCGATATGTTTATGTATAAAAGGGAAATAGTAGATATTTCATGAGGTTGTCAAAGGACTTGGCTTAGAACAGTATAAGCACCATAAAAGTGTCTGTTGGTGGGAAAATACTGAATATTCTGTGATAGTTGAGTAAAGCTTTATTTATTCATGGAAAGCAAAATGTCAAAAGTAAAGCCAGTTTCTAGGTACTAAGAGGTACATACAAATTCTTCCTAAACCCTCCATGTTTGCCCTAAGGGTTAGCTGTGCCCTTTAAAATCTCCCTTATGTTAACAATAGTTCTGTTTTAGTTTGACATTTCAATATTCTGAGAAAATATTTAGTACAGCTTCCACCTAATTGATCTTCTTACTTCCGTTTTATCCCCTTTAATCCATCCTCCATAAAGGTCAGAGTAGTCTTTCTAAAATCAATATTCAGTGTTTTTCCTCTGCTAGAAACCCTCTCCATGCCATCCCCTTTAGGATAAAGTTCAGCTCCTTAGCGTTTCATACAAAATTGTCCTAATATGGCCCCAGCCTAATCTCCAGCTTCATCTCTCAATGCTTCTTACCATGAAACCTAATCACCTGGCATACCTCAAAGGCTTTTTGTATGTCATTCCTTTTGCTAGAACATCCCTGAATTAGTTTGCTAGGACTGCCATAACAAAATACCACAGACTGAGTAGCTTAAATGAGAGAAATGTATTTCCTCACAGTTCTGGAGGCTAGAAATCAAATCTCAAAGTGTTGGCAGGCTTGGTTTCTCCTGGGGCTTGCAGATGCCCACCTTCTCAATGTGTTCTCACATATTTTTTTTCCTCTGTGCACACATCCTTGGTGTCTCTTTTTGTTTCTAAAGTTCTTTTTATAAGGACACAAGTCAGAATGAATTATGACCCCCCTAAATGCCCCATTTAAGTTGATCACCTCCTCAAAGGCCCCATCTCCAAATACAGTCACACTCTGAAGTTACAGGGATTAGGACTTTAACACACAAATTTTGGTGGGGCAAAATTCAGCCCCAAACAATCCCTTTTCCTTTTCTTTGCCCAGGCTAATTCCCGTTTGTTTTTCTAAGACTGGACCAAGCCTTCTCACCCTACAGGCAGAGTTCACTACCCTTTCTCTCTGTTTCTACAGAACCTCTGCATGCTGCATTCTGTATACTGCTATCCTATTAATACACTGTAACAATTGGGTCTTTCCCTCTTCAGACTGTGTTTCTTAAAAGCAGGGGCTAAATCCCTAGCACTTAGCACAGTCTCTGGCCCATCAAAGGTATTTAATAAAGATTTGATTATTAAGGGAAAGTAGAAGAAAGAAGAAGTGCTTTGAAGAAAGGCAAGAGTGGGTTCAAATCTTGGTTCAACCATTTACTTATCTTGTAGCTTTGGGTAGTCACCAAATGCTGAACTTACATTCTATTTAAGGTAGTTGTACTGATAAATGATCTAATTATAATAAAAACACCCAGTTGTGGGGTTGGTTCACAGTAGGTGCTCAGTAAATGTTAAAGATTCTGAGCTTGCCTGGGTTTGACACCCAGTTCCACCACTTTAGTAGATGAATGACCTTGGGTATGTTAACTTACCCTCTGCGTCAGTTGCCTATCTACAAAAACACCTCCTAGTGCTATTGTGAGGATAATATAGGTAAAACGTTAAGATAGGTATCTGACACATAGTAAGTATTACATAAATGTTTCCTATTACTACATGAACACTGCAGGTCTGAGCAAATATGACTGGAAGCCATGAATAATTTAGTCCCTTTATTTACTAAGTCATTTAAAATGTATTACCTTAATGCCTCAGATTTCTTAACAACTAAAGAAGATGGTAACTAAAGAGGTTCAAAAACTTACAGATAATATAAAGAGCTCAAAATAATCATGAAATAATATATTACTATCTGTCTCATTCCTTATATTGGTGTTTCACATTTTGGATATTGATGTAAAATTTTTAAGAAACTAGTTTTTCTACTCTTTGTGACTACTGATGTTAACCATGATTTCCAGTTTCCAGTGGAAAAATAATACTCTTTGGCTCATATTTTCAATTGTAGAATCACTAAACCTTGGAACTAGAAAGGACCTTTGAGATGAAAATCCAATCCTATCATGCCTTACACACGTAAACTGTGGTGGATTTGGAATGGGCTTTTGGGGTCGAAATGAGCAGCTCTGTGGGGGTACAGGAATGGCAAGCAGAGAGAACACTTTGTTCAGAAGTACTAAAGCAGGGGTTCAGAACTTCTTCTAGATATTCAAGGTGTATAAGGAACCAGTATTAGGAAATAATGCTGGAAAATAGTTTTGAATCATCCAAACTTTAAGGTAATGATGTAGGTACAACTTACCTGACCTGTAACTTTGACGCAAGGCAGATCTAGGTTTGAATCTCCGCTTGTAACGTAAGCAAACCCTTTGAGCCTCAGATTAGCACAACAGGGTTATTATAGTGATTGAGTGAACATATGTAGAGCTCATGACTGGTGTGCCTGGCTGATTAAAAGTACAGCTGACTTGCACATGCATTTGAACTGTAAGGGTCCACTTATACACAGATTTTTTTCAATACAGTACAGTAAATGTATTTTCTTTTCCTTATAATTTTCTTAACTTTTTCTTTTTTCTAGCTTACTTTATTGTAAGAATACAGCATGTAATAGATATAACACAAAATATGTTAGTCAACTGTTTATGTTATCAATAAGGTTTCTGATCAAACAGGCTATTAGTACAGTTTCTAGAGTGTCAAAAGTTATACACGGATTTTCAACTGTACAGGAGGGTTGGTGCCCCTAACCCCCCTGTTGTTCAAGGGTCAAATGTACTCAAATGTTTGTTCTTTCTTATGACTCCTTCAACATATGAATAAAAAACTGTAAAGTAACAAAACACTGTCTTTCATACATGTGATTGCTGAATGTCTGAGACTTGTTGAACATTAATTTTAAAAATAGAAAGCTGGAAAAGCTGCTGAGATGTTAAAGTGTCTTCATCCCTGCCCTTTCCCACCACCAAATGTCCTTCACAGTTTGTTCTGAAGTGTCACGTCAACGCTATTAACATGCTATTTGGAGATCACTGTAACTCAGACTTCCAATTCTACAGCAAAGATATGAAGGTCAGGACAAATTTTCCTGAAATATATTTTTTAAAAAACTGGAAGAGTACATGTCATTTTATTTCTGTGGTCTATTCTAGCTTAATGAATTTCCAGGGAAAAGTTACTGCTTCGGGATTTTCTTTCTTTCTTTCTTTTCTGGCTCAGAAACTGCAGGTTTTAATATAAGCTTCGTGAGCAACGAGCTGAGTTCACCATTATTATTATGACCCAGAACTCTTTTAAGTGTTTGGGAGATTATCTTTACGCTGTTACTAAAAAGGACATCTGCGAACATCTATTATTTACGCTTGAAACTAAGTTAACCGTTTCTTTTAAAGCATATGTGGTATCTGGCTCAAAATTAATCACAGGAAAAGCCCAATTCAGCACAGAAAGAGCTCTTTGCAATATCCTCTCCTTTCGCTGACATCATATATGGTGACCGAGGCTAGAGGTTTAACGTCCAAACACTAAAGCCGCTCATCGCTCAAGGATGGGGTTCCAGGTGGATGCTCTCCGGCAGAGAACGAGATACTGCAATCCTCAGAGGCGCAGCTGGGATGAACGCACAGACCAGAGCCCAGCGCCTATCACTTCGCACCCACACTTGGGAAACAAACCACTTCCCACCGCGGGGCGGGGACCCGACGAAGACCCGGGCCTGCGATACCCAGCCTCCGGCTCTGATGTCCGCGCGTGACCTCCGAGGACCGGGAGGAGCTCGGGGCGGGGAGGCTCCTCCGCCTTAAGGAGAAGTTGGCCAGGGCAAATTCGAGTCACGCGCGGGAATGTTACTCACAGGCATGGCCCGACGTCCTCTGTCCTCCGCCCGCGCTCCCTCAGGGAATAGGATCTAAAGCGGTGTCAGCCTGAGAGCTGCAGCCGAAGCGGCCGGCGCTGCCAGTAACGGCCCGGGCGTGGCAGGGACGGGTGGGCGACTTCACAACATCATCACTCGGCGACTTCGGTTTTGCAGCTAGGCCGGCTCTCTAGCAGCCCCACACATTGGAGAAGAGCGGAGATCCACTCTCCCAGCAGCCTCCACGGCGCCAGCGCGCGACCTGCCGGGAATTGTGGTTTCCTGTCCGCCCGCCCCCTCACCCTTCGGAGCTGTTGCGCGTTTGTCCCGCCCCCAAGCTAGAAGGCCCCGCCCCCTAGCAGCCTGGCCCTGGGGCGGGAGGCGGGGCCGCGACCCTGGGGCGAATCCACTCTGGGCAGACTGCCTGGGGTTGGGGCAGAGTTCCAGGCCCACAGCCCCAGTCCGGGTCGCGCCGCCTTGCTGCGCCCCGCGGCCCGCGCTGGGAGCGGGTCTTGTGCGCTCGAGGTTCCCCACGGCGGGCTGGGCTCCCGGGGCCCATAGGCCCCGCGCCGTTAGCCGCCTAAGGAGAGTCGCCGGTCGTGGTCGACGCCAGGGTAATGAGGGGAGGACGGGCCGGGGAGGGGGAGGTGGAGGGCTGGGTCGGGGACTTGAGGGAGCGCGGCTTGTACCGCTCACGCCTCGGGAAGCCCGAGGCTAGAACTCGCCCCCTTGCCTCGAACCCAAGCCCGGGCAGCCGGCGGAGCGGTGGCTGGAGTCCGGCGTGGCGTGGCGAGTGGCCGCTGAGCCCCGGGCCGCCCCGTGGCGGAGGCACCTGCGTTCAGTGTAGGCGGTGCTTGCCAGGTGCGCTGGGCGCGAGCGGCCCGAAGTCCTCTCTTCCCCCACCTCTCTCTCACCTTTGGCAGCGCTCCCGAGCCTGGAGGAGTTTCCGAACAGAAGACACCCTCTGGCCGAGGTTCTGGGTACCACCTTCGGCGAGTTCGCTATCGCGATCCCCCGAAGCAGGACTCGGAAATAACCTCTTACGAAATTAAATGCTCCAGCTTCGTTTTGTTCTCAGTGTTTAAATTCAGCGTCGTGTTTTTTCCTCGTGGCTTTGTTGTGCCGAATACCTTTTTCCTCAGAACTTGGTCAGGATTTTGTGACACAGCGTCTGCCTAGCACAGAGTCCGTCTGGCGCACAGTAGGCACTCAGGAAATATTTTTTGAAAGCATGAGTCACGATACTAAGTTTGGAAAATCTTACGGAGTTGTGCGTCGCTATAATTTTTAAGATTTTATGGCTTCTCAAGATCTCTTTGAAAATTACAGTAATTTTAAGGCTCAGCAGAGTTAAGTCGTTTTTTTTTTTTTTTTTTGCATTCCCTCTAACAATAGCCTCTGTTGGATGCCTAAATTAACTCAAAATCCGAGTTCTGTAAATAAATGCGCCCTATGATTTTCACAGAAATTAAGCTTTGACATTAAAGCCTTTGGACGAACCATTCTATAATGGAGCAAATTTAAATTATTTATAAAGCTTTACCCTAATTAGCTTGTTAGACACAAATGCAAGGGACCACACTGATGTAATATATTTAAAAATATAGGTCTGTAGTATGATTTAAGAAGGATTTATATTCGTATCTAGTGAAAGAGCATGCAGGAGAAAATTATGACCGCGAATCTATCCCTCCCAACCCACCACCATCTTTACCAGGTGCAGCTGCTGCCTTGACCTCAAAATGTCTTGTAAAATCATCTCTTAATCGTCTGGCATAACTAAAGCAGAAATCTGTGGGATTAAATCACCCCCGTGGGACAACTCCTTTAGTACTATCAAGTCTCATAAATCGGTCAGTTTCTTCTGAGTTTTTCTGAAATATAGATAATGTAATGGAATTTAAAGTTTTTTCTTGTTACTTAAGAACTTGCTGATATGAGGTGGAAAAAGAAAAACAAAATCCTGATAGCCAGAAAACTGAGTTAATCACGACATCCCTAATCCTTCTGTCTGTGGGAATGTAAACTGCCTTGTCTGCCCTGATCATCAGTGAGTGTCCCCAGTGCCTGACCATGGTAGCCATTCATTAAACACATGTGGAATGAATACTTGGCTGCTTCAGATTAACAGTGTAATGATTTTCTACAGGTGTATGGTTTCTTCATTTATTTAGACATTTCCTTAGAGTTGATTAGGGGAGGTGAGAACTTTACTGAATCAAAAGGTATGAGTATTTTCATGGTCATTGAAACATTGCCAACTTGCTTTCCAAATGAGCCTTACCTTTTTGAGCTGCCACCGGTAATATTTGAGTGTACCTTTCAGAGCATCCACTCAAGTTCTTATATTGGTACCGTGTTTGGTAGTTATGAGCCCTTTCAGATGAAGTATCTCATTTGATCTCAATCATCCTGGAAGGTGGGCAGGGCAGGTATTGCTTTCCCCCTTTTGTAATGCAGCAAATGACACTGCACTGCCTTAAACTGATGATAATGAATGACGGGTGACAAAATAATCATACCCTTTCAGGTTTTTCTTCCTCCTGTTCTCTACTTTCGGTTTGTAGTGAATATCCTGAATAAATCCATATCTTTCCTTAGCAGTAAAATTGGATATTGCTCTATAATATCTATTGTTTACACAGTCTTCCTTTTCTCTTTCATTTTGCTTAGATATTTATCTTGATTAAACTTCGGGATTTCATTAAAATAACCACAATTAAGAAGAAAGAGATGATATTGGTTAGGTATAACAAAACACCCAACACTAGAAAGTTTAGAACATTGCCACCCTTTCTGTTAGGAAAAATCTGGAAAGTTTTGGTGGTGCCTTTGTAGTTCCTTGAATCTGAAGAAGTTGCTATTTTAAACTTCTGAATCTGTTGCAGCGTCTTCATAAACTATTGAGATTAATACTCTACTAGTGAAAGTGGACAGGAATTATTTATATAATCTTCATATCTTTCATACTTGTCAAATTCTAGGAAGAATAGAATTGAGAACTAAGAATCCTAAGGTAAATATTCAGCCTAAGAACTGAAAAGAAATTTCTCTTTTTTAAAAACACATGACAAGGAGGGGCACCTGGGTGGCTCAGTGGGTTAAGCGTTTGCCTTCTGCCCAGGTCATGATCCTGGGATCGAGGCCAAGTCTGGCTCCCTGCTGGGGGTGGGGTGGGCTGTCTGCTTCTCCCTCTCCCTCTACCCCTCCCCCAAGTCGTGCTCGCTTGCTCTATCTCAAATAAATAAAATCTTAAAAAAAAAACCATGGCAACAAGAAAATGTTATTCCTAGTGTGTTACTAATCCAGATTCTTTCCCAAATTTGCTAGTCATGGACCCCAAATGATTTAATAGGTAATTAATCCAATCAGGGAGCTTTGGAACCTTCAACATTTCCTTATAACTGGAATCGTTGGAAATTATTGGGGAATATTTGTAAGTGGGTCCAACATTGATTTTCTATATTGCTTTCACATTTGCTTAAGTTTCTTTAAAAAAAAGTACAGAAAAGATAGGGAAGTAGAGATGCAGGTATATTGGCCTTTGGAAATACTCAGAATCTTCCTTCAACTTAACTCTGCCTTTCTGTTGTGATGTCAGATCCCAAATTGTGTTCTATAAACAGAAATGCTCTGTAAAGACACTTTTTAGAAATGTCTCTAGTCCTTGCATCAAAGAATAACTGCCTAAATATCATATGGGTTTATAGCAACTAGTTCAGGGAACTTTTATGTAAATCTAAATTATTTTGCTTTTGTTTTTATAATAGGATATTTCTTCATCTTGAAGATAAAGCAAAAATCTTTTTTGGAGTAGATGGATTTTTGACACTTTCTGTGAACTAAAACGATTCAATGTCTCTCTTGGTAAGTTTGTGTTAATATAGATTTAATTTCGGGGCACCTGGGTGTCAGTCTGTTAAACCTCTGACTCCTGGTTTCAGCTCAGGTCATAATCTCAGGATCATGAGATCGAGCTACAGGTCAGGCTCCATGCTCTGCGAGGAGTTGGCTTGGGATTCTCTCCGCCCTCCCTCTCTCCCTGTGCACTTTGTCTCTCTCTCTCAATCTCTCTCAAATAAGTAAGGGGCGCCCAGGTGGCTCACTTGGTTGTCTGCCTTCAGGTCAGGTTATGATCTCAGGGTCCTGGGATCGAGTCCCAGATCAGGCTCCCTGCTCACTGGGGAGTCTGCTTCTCCCTCCCATTCTCCCTCTGTGCTCTCTCTCTCTTCTTCAAATAAATAAATAAAATCTATAAAATGAAATAACATAAATCTGTAAAAAAAAAAAGCATAGGTCTAATTTTTTGCCATCAGAGTAGTTAAATGTTAGTGCAGAGCCATAATTGAAGGCATATTCTGATGGGATATTGTTATGCTGAGATGTTATTTTGACCTGAATGGCTTCAGAAAGAAATGAGTTAAATTCTCATTGAGTTTTTGTTGCTTTAAAAAAAGAGCTTTTCCTTTACTTTTCTGATATATTCATTATTCTTTTCCTTTGTCCCATACCCACTTGTTTTCATACATTTACTGTACTTATATATGCCTCTCCCATCTAGTTAGCTGTGCCTCATCCTTAAATCTTTCAAAAATCCCTTTTATAAATTTCCATTAGACCAAAGGCAAGCAAAATAATATTAAAAATAAGCCTCTTAACAAGACAAAAAATATTTGGATCAATGTATAATATATGTATAGAGTCTAACTTGTTTTTTGTTTATATTAGATCCATGGTATCTAGATTGAGAACCAGAAATCATATGGTAAAAAATATTCAACCTACAGAAAATATTATTTAGATTAAGTAGTTTCAAGTCTTTCATCATGTCTTGTATAGAACATAATACAATATCTGACTTTATTAAAGTAATGATCTTTTAAAAAGTGATGGGTGCATTTGTATGATGATTTGCAGTTTATAAATACTTTCATATATTATATCTCTTCTAGTCTTCAAAATTATAAGTGACCGCAGGGCAGGTGGTTTAATCCTTATTTTGAGTTTGGCCCAAGATGGCAAAGAATTGCCAGGGCTCAAACTCATATCTGCCAAGCCAGTCCATCATTTGCCAAGTCTGAGAGGCAGAACTATGAAGTGAGAAAATACAGAATGCATTTGTTGGATTTATTGTATGATTTGTTTGGTATATGGAAAATACAGAATGCATTCACTTTATTTTTAAAGTAAGGTTTTTCTACCTAAATGGGGAGATTTAGGGGCACCTGGCTCGCTCAGTCAGGAGAGCATGT